TGAGCGGACCGCATATCGCTCTCAAACTCACATGAGATACATTAGCTGCAGGCTGTAGGGTAGGGGTAGAGTAGAGCCTATAGTCGACAGTACCGTAAAGTACATTTATGAAAATGCAGTACAATCATGTTCTAATTTAATTGTGAAATTGATAATATTGTATTAAAACTGCAATTAAAAAAGACTCTCAAGCGGATTTTACTGTGTCATTGAATAACGTAAGTTGATGACAAAAAATTTTGGAGTTAAATTTATTTACATTACTTTTTAGATGCATAGAATGGATAAACGAAAAATCAAAGGAGGTGTACAGAAACTTCGAGAAAAGAATGCCCTAAAATATGCTTTTAGCATGTTTCATTACACAGATAATTGTTTATATATACAATTAATACTTGCACTCAAAAGGGCTGATCTTTGGAATATGGTAACAGGTAGTTTGGCGACATTTTGGAGGTGATAAAGGTTACTACCTAGGACTTTGGCAACAATGTGAGAAGTACTCAGTTCCGATTACGCATTATTTTGTGTGAGGGAAATGAGAGATCATGAGATATGTCATGTGACACTAATGGGCGAATTACAGTTCTTTAATCGAAAAAGGGGGTTAATTTGGAAAATTATTTTGTATTAAGCTTATTGTGTGTTGTGTGTAGTGTTGATTAATTTTTGATTGCATGGCGCTATGTAAAGTGAATTCTAAATTTTTAATGCGTTTATCTGATAAAATAATAAGTTGAGATTGTGTGAAAGGAAGGATATTACACATAAGTTTGAATGCTGGTACAAGAAATCTGGTGAAAATGGACATTTTGTGAAACGTAATGTAAGGAAGGGTACGTGGTTTGCTGAAAGTCGTTTGAGTTTGGGTGAAATTTTATTAATTTCTTATTAGTGGGTGCATAGACTGCCAGTTGACTACTGGATTTCGGATTTAGAAATTAGCAGTAGTACTGCAGCCACGTAATGAAGATTTGAAGAAGATTAGGTAAGTTAGTATTTTAATATTTGAGGATATTATTTTATGCATTGTTCTAAATGTAAGGATAAATAATTAATATGGTATTATTGGAAAATGTTATTAGCATGATTAGTTTAAAGTATAGGATTGTAATCTAATTTTTATTAATTTATGTATGATTATTATATTTAAGTAGTTTTTTTTTAATTATATTTTAATTTAATGATCGTGATTTTGTGAGATATATATTGTAGTATTTTGGAATACGTTTGAAGAGTATACGTGAATTTCATGCATTTTCGTTGAAATTTTCATTTATGAGAAAAGCAGTATAAATGGATATAGTGAAGAGTGTGCGCAATGCCATTTTGTGCAATCTGGGATGTTTCTTTAAGTAAAAATAAGCGACGGTACTGGTTAGTGATATTTTGATAGTTTTTGTGATTTGTTTGTAGGAATTTGGTATACGTGAAGTAAACGTGTATGGAAATATTTAATATTTGACACTAAGATTGTAACTATTTTAATGTTTGCGTTATCCTCCGTTGCTGCCGTTTTATCTAGATAATTTAGAGGTAAAAGTTTTTTGGATATTTTATTTATTTTATAATGGAATGTTCATCCTTGGAAAGTGTATATACTTTTTCGCGTGAGGTAATTCATATTGTTCTTTTACCAGATTAAGATTCACAAATTTCAGCATTCGTGAAATTTTCTATTTATGAGAAAAAGAGTGTAATGGAATAGTGAAGAGTGTGCGCATTCCATTTTTGTGCAATTCTGGGATGTTTTTTAAGTAAAAAATAAGTCGACGTGTACATGGTTTAATTATATTTAATTAAATGATAGTTATTTGTGAATTATATGTTTGTAGGGAATTTGGTATACGTTTCAGTTAAGTAAACGTGTATGGAAATAATTAAATATTTGACACTAAGTATTGTAATATTTTTATGTCTGCGTATAAATTCGTTGGTGATTTTTATAATAGATAATTTAGAGGTAAAAGTTTGGGATATTTATTTATTTTATCTGTGGAAATGTTCATCTTGGAAAGGGTATTACTTTTCGTGATCAGGTAATTTCATATATGTTCTTTTTACCGGATTTAAAGATTCACAAAATTTTCATGCATTTTCGTGAAATTTTTTAAATTTATGACAAAAAAGCAGTGTACATGGATATAGAGAAGAATGTGTGCAATGCCATTTTTGTACAATTCTGAGATTTTTTTTAAGTAAAAATAAGTCGACGTGTAAATGGTTTATGTGTACTTGCTATCCTGAAAAACGCACAAGGAGTTTGCGATTCTGCACTTTTTCCCAATTTTGCAGTTAATATTTGTCATGATTAAGCAGTTTTGTTACATAAAATTTCTAGCATCAGTGTAATTCGGCTAGAGATTGTTGGAAAAGTGTTGAGTAAATAAAAAGAAAAGAAACATGTCTTTACTTCGTGAAGAAAAATGGCGGCGAAAAAAATAGAGGGTTGTGTAGCAGAGTTGGTCGCCAAAAAAACGCCAAGTTTACCATAATCCAAAGATCACCTTCAAAGTATTGCTCCAATGACATACAAAAACGCGCATACAAGAATGGCAAAATCTATTGGACAAAAACAAATTTTAGAATAATTTTGTCTGCTCATGTATATTTGAAAATATTTTAATATACTGAGCCAGTAACGAAATATTTGCAGACTAAAGGAATAGATTACATCATAATATATAATATGTTAGATATGTTACAATCTCTTTAAAAATCATTTCTGGAAACGTTGATTTAATATTTAACACATTAAAATCCTTTGCAACGGACTGCAATGATAAACCAGATAGGCAGGGTTGTGATTAATTATAGAAGAACTACTTGCTAGGAGATGCTGAAAAGTGAAGCAAATGGACAACAAATAATTGAATGACTATAATTTCAATTGCCCTATCAAACAATTGGAAGTTACTGTCTTTAACCTGATAATGGATAACACCATTTCATCAGTGGAAAGTAGGTTTGAAGAGCATAGAAAGTTGTATGAAGACATATCTCTTCTCGATCCCCAAAACTTTTCAAAGCCATTGTTGCCAAACTCTTTCGACTATTTACTATATTATTAGGGCACTATGCAGGTGTAACAACTGATATCTTAAGGATGTATATCAAGATATAGGAAGTAAAATGGGAAATATTTAAAATTATTATTTTCAATCTGATATCGAGTCAGAAGGAGAGAGTGCTCAATTCATTAATGAACATTCATCCAAAGCTAAATGCAATTTTTGCAAAAATTGCATCTTATGAGTATATAAATTGGTCTTAAAATATAATTTATATAGTAGAGTGTACACCAATGTCTTTTTTATTTATAAGTTTGTACCTACCCTATCTCTAATGCAGGCTGAATGCAAAACAGCATTTTCAAAATTAAAATAGATTAAGAAATATTAAGTAAGCTAATGTGGAGTCATTGCTATTGATGAACATAGAGGATATTTTGGCTAAAGCAAAAATTTAATATATATTTAATGGAGGAAATTTGACCAGGTACCTGGAATTAAAAAATATTTAAATGGCTAATTATGAATCAACCATTGTTGTTTATATAGTTATTTGTCACGTTATTTATTGTTGTAGTTTACAAATAAAAATACATATATATTATATATATATAACATGAATAAATTTTTACTTTTTTTGCAAAGGTATATTTTTAGAAAATGATTTTTGATAATACTGATGATAACAATGATAACTTATATGTATAATAACATATCATATGGGGGGGAAGCTTAGGGCCGGCATATTTTATCTTGCCAGAGCCTATTTCTTTGGCATATCTGCCACTGATTAATTGATAATTATAATGAGCTTTGTAACTCCATAAATTTCCTTGATATTTTAATTGTAGTACCTTGTCAAAAACAAATGAGTATTTTTTTTTTCAGACAAAACAAAATTATTTCCCATCTTCAACAAGACGATCAGATATCTACCACAAATGGCACTAAACCAGCTGTGGAACATGGATATATATACAAACTGAAGCTACACTAGTGAACTACCTATTCTTTAATAAACTTGTTTTTAATTTAAACAGCTATCATTGAAAGAATATTCTGATAGTTTAGAATCAGTAATTTTAACAGCTATGAAGATCAAAATTTTACAATAAATAAAGGAAATTTTTCTATTTCATAATTGAACAAGCTATTTATTTATTTACTAGTTTCAATAACAGCTTTTTAAAACATGCAACTGAAGTATGATATATTCAATAAAAACCAATAAATCACTCAATTTTAAGGTTGGATCCTAGCAGAAGCCCACACCCTTGGCGCACCCACTTATATGGCGCATATCGTTGTCTACATGGATGAAGTCAAGGGAGTGTGCAATGCCAAGTTTGTGCGATTCTGGGACGATTTTTTCAGTGAAAATAGGTCGATGTGTACATGGATACTGAGTTTGTGCAATTTTTGGACTTGTTATTTTCAAGTTGGCGATTTTGAGAAAAGCACGAAGCAGTGGGTGATTCTGCACTTTCGCAGTTTGTCGCCAACAATGAGATTTATATTTTCATTTGCTGTTACCTGTAACACACTATGATTTCATAAAATATTTACGGTCATTTTGTTCCCTATGCATGGGACAAGAAGATGCAGATGATATTAAATCAAAAGTAGGACTTTAAATTTGGATTCATAGGCGATTACGGCGAACTGTTAGAATGAGAAGATGAGCTTTAATCATTAGAGATTTGTTGCACACTTAAAACTGATTTAATTTTGTTGAGTACCGTTTTCTACTGCAGTAGGTGCTGTGTTCTTTTTTTCCCTACCTTCTGTGATGTAAAAGTGTCATTACTCGAAGAGAAAAATTACTATATCTAATGGAAAATGTACTAGAACATAAATAATTTATATAAATGATAGATCTAATATGAGATTACTAGAAGTGGTCACACTGATCAGGTGATATTTTCGCTCACCCTACACAGATAGAGAAAAAACAAACTTTTGAGGCAAATATAACAACTCTTTACTCACAAGCACCTATCCATTTTCGAAATAATGTTCGGTTAGTTCACAAATTTATGAGACTGCGCTGGCTAAATGAAAATGTTTAACATGCGTAATGTAAAGTTTGAAAAATCTAAATTAAAAAATAGTACAAAGTAATAACTGGCACTGTAATAGGCAAAGAAATGAAATAAAAATTAATGTTAAAGGGAAGAAATTCAATAATATTGACATCATTCTATGATGCCATCTCATACCGCTATAAAATTCGGTAACCTTTGCATTTCATTCTCATAAAAGTCTTCCAGAACATCTCAAGAACAGCGCGCAGGTCAAAAAAGCAAACACATTCCCTGTTTTGCACCTCAATGAGCTTTTTACCAGATCATTTAACATATCAGAAAAATAGAGGCTGAATCAAAGAATCTCTAAGATAAACTATTCAGCTCAAAGAACTCCTTAGAGATTCTTTGGGCTGAATAGTTTTGCAGATTTACAACCGTCATCTGCATTCCTCCTAACAAAACTTTTATTTCACCACAGTAAACGTAATTGATTATTTGTAAAAATTGTTTCTAAACTTTTTGAACTTCCTTATGCACTTGCCTGTTTGTTACTTTCCTTTTCATTTCCTGAAAGTTACGTAATTTTTTTTACGAGAAGTAACAAATTCAATGCGTTTTCATTCATTTTTAGTTAATGATACAACATATCTAACCTCTTATTTTCTTTTCTGAATTATCTGATTATGATCTTCAGTTATTAAATAAGAAAATCTATTCTAACTTCCTTGATGTCAACCAACGAATTCATTTTATTTTTTACTCTAGGAACGGCAACAGGTATATTATTCTTTCCTTAAATGGCATCAGCAGCAGCTTTCAGCTTTGTTTATATTTAACGGTGTGGTGATGCACAGCAATTCAATAATAATAACTTTTCGCATCCGGAAGACAACAACATTAAAGAACAAGTTCATAACTTTATTAATTCCAATAGGAGCACAGCTAATCCTCCTAACACTCCCTCTGAAGTATTCTATCTGATTAAGCATTTAAATCCTAAAAAAGCCAGCGGTTATGACAAAATTTCAAATACTGCCATACAGAATCTTCCTAAAAAAGCTATGATCTTTCTTGTCAACTTATTCAATGACAGCCTGAGGAATAATTACATCCCTAATGTCTGGAAAATTGCTACTATTATTGTCATTAAAAAACCTGGAAAGGACAAAAAATTAACCACAAGTTACACCATTTTCTCTTTTACCTACTATTTCCAAATTATTTGAAAAAATCATTCAAAAAAGATTGCAACAATATGCTCAAGATAATAGCATAATTTCTCCTTATCAGTTTGGCTTCAGGAAAAATTACTCCACCACTCACCAAGTCTCCCGCATCGTTGAAAAGATCGGTGAAGCCTTTAATAAAAAGGAAACAGTAGCTGCTCTTTTCCTCGATGTGGAAAAAGCATTTGACAAAGTTTGGCATACTGGCCTTATATTCAAACTTATTACCTACAATTTCCCTCCTGCTCTAATCATCATTATCTTCAATTATCTGCAAAACAGATACTTCCAAGTTAGAATCAACTCTGACTACTCAAACAAAAGAAAAATTAATGCTGGCGTCCCTCAGGGAGCAAATTTGGCTCCTTATCTCTACATTATTTATATAAATGATTTCCCAAATTATCCAGGTACTGAGTTAGCTCAGTATGCTGATAGTACTGCTATCTTTTCTACATCCATCAACCTTACCTATGCTCAACACAAATTGCAAAATGCTGTTAATAATATCCAAGATTGACTCCAAAAATGGAAGATTAAAATTAATTCACAGGAAAGTACTAATATCATCTTCAAACGCACTAATAGAAGACCTGTATGCGATCATCTGTACATTAATAATCAACCGGTCAATCAACAGATAACTCAGTCAAATATCTTGGCATTAACCTAGATTCCAAACTTAATTTTAAAATTCATCCACAAGCTACCAAAGCCAAAACTATGCAAGCTTTTATGAGTGTATATTCAATAATCAATAGACACTCGAAACTGAGCATAAATACAAAAAAAATTATCTATTTACAACTCATAAGTCCTGTAATGCTTTACGGTTCGCCAGTGGGCAGCAGCAGCACGCACGAACAGAAAGCCTCTGCAAACATTGCAAAATAAAATCATAAGAACCATGCTGGGTGCTCCGTGGTCCTAAGCCTACAGAGACATATGAAAATTAACACAACTAACGAAGAAATACTAAAGACCGTCTATAAATTCTACAATAAAATCGAAAATCATCCCTCAAATCTCGTCAAAAACATGGGCAATTACGATTACATTATAGAACAGCCGTACAAAAGACCAAGGACAATTCATCACAATGTTCGTTGGTAACATATGTATATACTCATCATCGTATTTTATTATTTTATTATTCAGTATTTACTCAAGATTTTTGCTATACTTCAATTCTTTTGACTTTTGAACTTGAACTCTTATTGAAGTATTAGCTTCTTATTTACTCAAGAAATTATTTATCTGCAACTGTATTGGCCGATAGCAGCTACACCTCTATACTCAAGTTATATTTTTCTTTAATCATCACATATCAGCATCAGCATCATTACTGATATTTTTCTAAGTTTACTGATAATGTTAGAATACAATTCTATTCATCAGATTTGTAAATAGTCTATTATTTATTTTAATATAGAGCAAAATATGTCATCTTGAGCATCTCTCGACTCTGCCAATCAACATCACGGAAATAGCACACGTGACCAGCACCTCTGACTTACGTTAGTAAATTGAAATTACATCCCTGGCATAGATGTCACTTTTGTAATCAACATCTCGAATTAATCGTGATTCAGGAATCTATTTTACTACTTACATGCATCCTTATGAGACAAGCATTCAATACATTTCTAAAGCCTTTAATGGATAATTCAATTAGGTCAAGTAATGTACTTTTATTAGTATGAAACTTAAAGATTAAGTTTAAAGATTAAAGAAGTTATGACCTGACCTGACCTGACATTGACCATGCCATTAAGGTTTTCGCTGACAACATTTTGAAAGCTTTTTGTGATGTGACTGTCATTAAGCAAGTGACTAATAATAATGTTAAACTCCCTAGAAGCATAAGAGAAATTATTAAAGAATGCAACAGAAAACTTAAATTTTGGCATCGTAATTGGGATCCGGCTTCAAAACGACAAATTAACATTTTAAACAGAAGAATTAAACAACTTATTTTTGATTTCAAAAGAGAATCCAAGGAAGAATTCCAACTGAACATCAATGATGGCTCACTTTGGAAATATCTTCAAAATCTCAAGAAGAAGACCATTTACAATAGACCTCTCCATTCTGGTTCTACTATTGTATATTTGATTCATGATAAAGTTAACATTTTTGCTGATTACCTTGAAGAACAATTCACTCCAAACATGAACCCGATGAATCCTACCTTTAAAGATACTCTGGAAAGTTATGTACATTCATGGCTCTATTCTTCCACTGCTCACAATCTCCCCAAGTTTACAAATCCATCGGAGGTTACTAACATCATTCGTTATCTAAATGTTAAAAAGGCTTCTGGAAAAGATCAAATCACCAATCAAATGCTTCGAATTCTCCCAAGAAAAGTAATTAGTAAACTTACTTGCATCTTTAATGCTTGCCTTAATGTTAATTATTTTCCTGACTCTTGGAAGCAAGCCAACATTTTTCTTCTGCCTAAACCAGGCAAAGATGTTTTCTAAACCAAATGGATACAGACCAATCAGCTTATTATCGAACCTCGGAAAAATTTATGAATGTCTCATCCTCAAAAGATTAGAACCTTATATGCATCTTCTTCCAAATGATCAATATGGTTTTCGTAAAAATCTCAGCACCACTCGTCAACTGGTCAGGATTGTGGAATTCATCGGTCCTGCTTTTCATAACAAGCAAAAGTGTAGCGCTCCTTAGCTGGACGTGGCAAAGCCTTTGACCGCGTCTGGCATGAAGGGGCTTGTTTTCAAAGCTCATCAACCTTGGATTGCCTAGAGAATTAATTCTCCTGATTTATTCCTTTTTTGCAACATCGCAAGTTCTTCGTCTCACTAGGCAATGAAACCTCTACTCTGAGACCTATAAGATCTAGCGTCCCACAGGAAAGCATCCTCGTACCGGTTCTTTACCTGTTTTATATCTCAGACTTCCTCATCCTGGACTTGACAACTACTTCTTCTTGCATGCTACGCCGATGATACGGCGATAGCCATCAAGTCTATCAACGCTAATCATGCAATTAATAAAATGCAAGATTTTTTACACGTAGAGGACTGGTGCACCAATTGGAGTTAAAATTAACGCCAGTACGTCTCAGCTTTTAATCCTTCGCAAAAACAAAAAAAAAAAAAAAAAAAAAATGCATAAGTTAAAGAAACTTTTCCTTTTCAAGAGCTGTTCCCTTAGTTTACAAAAAGCCAAATACCTAGGAGGGATTCTTAACCATAATCTCACTTGGACCAAACCATATTAAGAATGTTAAAAATAAAGCAATTGGAATTATGTGCAGATTTTTTCTAACCTTAGCCTAAGAACCAAGACATATTTCTATACTTGTATCCGACCTATTCTTTGTTATGCTCTCGCTTGGAATACTGCCTCTCCTAATCAATTACATCAACTTCAAATAGTGCAGAATAAATTTCTTCGTTTCACTGATGCTGACTTTCTCATCCGAAAGAACTTCTTCATAGAGATCTTAAGCTTGAAACCATCACAGAATTTATTAAAAGAACAATGGAAATTCTTCTCTAAAGCTGTCAATGTGACTATGTGAACTATTCCCAAGTCTTCCAACTATGAAATACTCAATGAAGACGCAACATAGACCAATGACTGCTCACATTTTCTGGATGAGACTTGCGGGTAGAGTAGACTTTAAGGTACCCCTTGTATATGGCAAAGTTGTTGTTTGATTTATCGCCACGTTGTTTATGGAGCCGAGTAATGATGGTATGGAAACCTATTGGACGTATCGGGTGCATGATTGGGAAATTGATCATGGGTGTTTGTAAGAGTTTTTTTTTTGGGTGTGGTTGGTTTGATTCTTTAGACGTAGAATGCCGAATGTCGTAAGATTAATGAATTTTTGTACGATTTGGAGCGAAAGGGGAAAAGAGCTTT